GCCGCGGCAATGGCGCGCCAAAAGCCCGCCCGCAGCTCGGGGCGGGCCGGCCCGGCCCGGCCCGTTGACAATGTGAATATTCACATTGACATGTTAACATTCACATTGATAGGAGTGTAAAATTAGTCCGCGCCTCGTAGCTGCCCGAAACCCGCCCACGGCCCGTGGGCGGGCCCAGCCCGGCCTATTAAAATGTGAATGTTCACATTGACATGTTAACATTCACATTGTTAAGAGTATAAAACTAGACAGCAGCCAGAGCGGCCCCGACTCGGCCCGGCCCGGCCCGTTGACAATGTAAATATTCACATTGACATGTTAACATTTACATTAATAGGAGTGTAAAATTGGCCCCGTCCCGTGGCAGCGCGAAACCGCCCGCGGCCCATGGCGACCCGGGGCGGGCTCGGTCCGGCCCGTTGACAATGTGAATATTCACATTGACATGTTAACATTCACATGATAAGAGTATAAAGTTGGCCCACGCCATAGACGGCCAAAAGCCCCACCGGCCAGGGCGGGCCCGGCCCGGCCCGTTGATAATGTGATATCCATTGCATCGTAACAATCACATGATAATAATGTAAAATTGGCCCGCAGCCCGTGGACGGCCCGAAGCCCGACCGCAGCCCGAGGCGGGCTTGGCCGACCCGTGACAATGTGATATTTCACATTGACATGTGACATGCACATTGATAAGAGTGTAAAATTAAGCCCGCGCCCCGTGGCTGCCCGAAACCCGTCCACGGCCCGTGGGCGGCCCGAGGCGGGCCCGGCCGGCCTGTTGACAATGTGAATATTCACATTGACATGTTCACATTCACATTGATAAGAGTGTACAATGCGCCGTGACCCGTGGCAGCCCAAAGCACGACCTCGGGCCAGGGCGGGCTCGGCCCGTTGGCAATGTGAATATTCACATTGACATGTTAACATTCACATATATAAGGAGTGTAAAATTGGCCCGCAGCCATGGGCGGCCCGAAGCCCGATCGCAGCCCGAGCGGGCTTGCCCGACCCGTGACAATGTGAATATTCACATTGAAATGTTAACATTAACATTGATAAGAGTGTAAAACTTGTCCGCTGCCCGAAGCTCCGGGCCTAACCCGGGTCATCCACGAGCTTCGGGCCGCCCAGGGACGCAAGTCAATTTTACACTCTTATCAATTGTAAATGTTAACATGTCAATGTGAATATTTACATTGTCAACAGGCCGGGCCGGGCCCGCCTCTGGCCGCCCACCGGCCGTGGGCGTGTTTCGGGCAGCCACGGGCACGGGCTAATGTTACACTCTTATCAATGTGAATGTTAACATGTCAATGTGAATATTTACGTTATCAACGGGCCGTGCCCGCGTCGGCCCGGGGCCGGGCTTCGTTGCCCACGGGTCATGGGCTAATTTACACTCTTATCAATGTTAATGTTAATATGTCAATGTGAATATTCACATTGTCAACGAGCCGATGCCAAGCCCGCCCTGGCAGCGGGCGGGCTTCAGGCCGCCCACGGGCCACGGGCCAATTTACACTCCTATCAATGTGAATGTTAATATGTCAATGTGAATATTCACATTGTCAACGGGCCGGACCGGGCTCGCCTCGGGCCGCCCATGGGACGCGAGTCAATTTTACACTCTTATCAATGTGAATGTTTAATATGTCAATGTGAGAATATTCACATTGTCAACAGGCCGGATCGGGCCGGCCCACGGCCGTGGGCTAATTTTATACTCTTATCAATGTGAATGTTAGCATATCAATGTAAATATTTGCTATTATTACGAGGCCGGGCCCGCCCAGAGGCAGCCCACGAGCCGCAGGCGCGGTTTCGGCGCGCCACAGGCGCAGTAGCTAATTTACACCCATATCAATAAGTGAATGTAACATATCAAAATGTGAAATATTCATTGTTAACGGGCCGGGCCGGGCCCACCCCGACCCGGGCCAGCTTCGGGCTGCCCACGGCCTGGCCAATTTTACACTCTTGTCAATGTTAATGTTAATGTTAATGTTTATTAATGTCAATTGTTAATATTCATATTATGAACGAGCCGGCCCGGGCCCGCCTCGGGCGACGGGCTTGGTTTCGCGCCGCACGGGCCGCAGGCCAATTTTACACTCTATCAATGTGAATGTTAACTTGTCAATGTGAAATTCATATTATCCAACGGTCGCGGTCGGGCCTATTTTTTTGGCTTGTGGGCCGATCCGGCCCGAATCTCTTCTCTCTTGGCACAAGGGTATTCGGGCTTTGGATGGGCCAATGGATCGAGCCTCGGGTCGGACCGGTGGGCCTGGGCCTAGCCTCGAGCTTAGGTCGGGCTTGGGCGGGCATGGCCATTTTTTTTAATTCTTTTTAATTTTTTCTACCAAAATTTTATTATTTTTTACAAAAAAAGACATTGCGCCTCGGGCGGGCTAGGCCTCGGACCGAGCCTTGAATGAGCCTTAAGCAGGCCGATGGGCCGGGCCGGGCTTCAAAGTGATGGCTTAGGCCCTAGCCTAGGGTCTCAGACATGCTCAGGCCCGGACCCAAACGAGCCTGCCCCGGACCGTAGGCGGGCTTCGGGCAGCCCACGGGTCGCGGACCAATTCTACATTCCTATCAATGTGAATGTTAACATGTCAATGTGAATATTTACATTGTCAACAGGCCGGGCCGGGCCCGCCTCTGGCCGCCCACCGGCCGTGGGCGTGTTTCGGGCAGCCACTGGGCACGGGCTAATGTTACACTCTTATCAATGTGAATGTTAACATGTCAATGTGAATATTTACGTTATCAACGGGCCGTGCCCGCGTCGGCCCGGGGCCGGGCTTCGGGTTGCCCACGGGTCATGGGCTAATTTAACACTCTTATCAATGTTAATGTTAATATGTCAATGTGAATATTCACATTGTCAACGAGCCGAGCCAAGCCCGCCCTGGGCAGCGGGCGGGCTTCAGGCCGCCCACGGGCCACGGGCCAATTTTACACTCCTATCAATGTGAATGTTAATATGTCAATGTGAATATTCACATTGTCAACGGGCCGGACCGGGCTCGCCTCGGGCCGCCCATGGGACGCGAGTCAATTTTACACTCTTATCAATGTGAATGTTAATATGTCAATGTGAATATTCACATTGTCAACAGGCCGGATCGGGGCCGCCCACGGGCCGTGGGCTAATTTTATACTCTTATCAATGTGAATGTTAGCATATCAATGTAAATATTTGCATTATTAACGGGCCGGGCCCGCCCAAGGCAGCCCACGAGCCGCAGGCGGGTTTCGGGCCGGCCACAGGCCGCAGGCTAATTTTACACTCCTATCAATGTGAATGTTAACATATCAATGTGAATATTCACATTGTTAACGGGCCGGGCCGGGCCCACCCCGACCCGGGCCCAGGCTTCGGGCTGCCCACGGGTCCTGGGCCAATTTTACACTCTTGTCAATGTTAATGTTAATGTTAATGTTATTATGTCAATGTTAATATTCATATTATGAACGGGCCGGCCCGGGCCCGCCTCGGGCGACGGGCTGGTTTCGGGCCGCACACGGGCCGCAGGCCAATTTTACACTCCTATCAATGTGAATGTTAACTTGTCAATGTGAATATTCATATTATCAACGGGTCGGGTCGGGCCTATTTTTTTGGCTTGTGGGCCGATCCGGCCCGACTCGAATTTTTCCGGACACCCACGAGGATCGACATGAGCCGGGCCCCTACACATTGACGATATAAACATTTATATTGACGGTGTGAACATTCACATTAAGGGTATTTTGGTAATTATGTCACTCATAGGACTTATTGAAACATAAGAAAATAATGTGAACTAAATGGAACATAAGGAGATGAAAAGGGTATTTTGGTCCTCTTATCTCAAATTGGACCTAATGGAATAGTCAAAAAGAAAATGGGTTTGATGGAATAAAACTCTTAGAAAATGGATTTATCAAAAAAGCTCCCTAACAAAAATATAGCTGGGTAAAACGAAGGAACAAAATTAAGAGGATAGAGCAAAATAAAATTACTAAAATTAAAATTTTGAGGTTAAAAGTGAAACGGAATGCATACTTTATAGACTATATATATAAAAAAATATTTAAAAAATATTGTATTATTTACATTTTTTTTAATGTGATATGAGTCACATTTAAAAATAATATTTTAGGTATTTAATATAGGGATATTTACCAATAAATCTCATCTCACAAACAAGTACTCTAATTAGTTCCAAATTTTTTTTATTAATCCGTTAAGTCCTATTAATGGAGAGTTTCTTTTCTGTGTGGTCCTATTTTGATTTTTGTAGTATTTTGATGGATAACTATGCCATTTTTGTTAATGTGACATGTATGATGTGATACTTCAATATGATAGGTATTAATGTGACACTCCAATAATGTGACATTCCAAAAAAATTAAAAACTCCTTACTCTACTTTTTTTAAATGTGACAACGTGACGAGTATAATGTGATACTTCAAAACTTTTACTCTAAAAAAAAAATAAAAACTTCTTAGTGTACTTTTTCCAAATGTGACAGCGTGATGCGTATGATGTGATACTCTTAAAAAAATTAAAAACTCCTTAGTGTACTTTCTCCAAATATGATAACGTAGTGGGTATGATGTAACACTTCAAAAAAATAAAAACTCCTTAGTGTACTTTTCTCAAACGTGACAACGTAACGAGTATGATGTGACGCTCTAAAAAATTAAAAACTCCTTAGTATACTTTTCCCAAATGCGACAACATAGTGAGTATGATGTGACACTCTAAAAAAATTAAAAACTCCTTAGTATACTTTTTCCAAACGTGACATGTGACACTCTAACATAGCGAGTATGACGTGACACTCTAAAAAAATTAAAAACTCTTTAATATACTTTTTACAAATGTGTCACTGTAACGTAGCGGGTATAATGTAATACTAAAAAACTCTTTAGTATACTTTTTTTAAATGTGACACTCTAATGTGGCGGACAAATGAGTCATTACATATCTAAAAGGACTAAATGAATCACAAGAAAAAATACAGAACTACATGGATTACAAGTTTAAAATATGAGACTTATTGGTCAATCTCTCTTTAATATATTTTTTGGATAATTCTATTTTTACACCATACAAGTAGTTCTAAGTAAACACTATAAATGTGTTTGGGTATAAATTTTTGAATAAATATCAAATGTTTAGATTTAGATTTATGAATATAAAATAATTGTTCGAATATAAATAATTGAATGAGTTATATATTTGAATAATTTATTTTGGTTCATAACTTTAAATTCGAGCATTTAATATTTGTTTAAAAATATACATCCAAACATATTTGTATTATGCACTAAGAGTTTATATGATATGCAAATAAAATTTTTTATATTTTTTATGTTATTTTTTGTTTCAATTTTTTGCCCTTAACTTTAAGTCAAACAAGAGCCACTGTAATTATTGCAAGTAATATGAGAGGTCAGTGCAAAGCATTTAATTTTTTTTGGCTGCGCCTAACCTTTTCAAGAAACTTGTCGTTTTTAATTAAGAAAATTAAAAGATTAAGAAGTTAGGCGGGATTTTTTTAGTAATTTACTTATTGACTTTTTTTTTTTAACTAAACTTTCAAAAAAAAATAGTTATCTTTTATCAAATATATGGAGATGACTTCTTTCCACATATTAAACAAGAGAGTATTGTTGGACTCATGAGCCCTAGCATTAGTTTTGTTTCGATAATTCGAATTATTCAATATGTAGAGCTTATCAAGTACTTTTTTATATCTGTAAAAAATCACGTTGATCGGATATTTGTAGCCTCTTATTTACTATTGACAAAAATGTATTCCGATTAAAGGGCTATCGATATTTGATTAACGTGTTTTTTTTTAGGCATAAAATACTCAACGAGCTCTATACATTGAACGGTTCAGACTATTGAAACGGGACCTATAGTAGGCCTCACAAGCCCAACAGTACGCTTCAGTCCATGTAGACTGGAGAAAAGCCTCTTCCTATAAATATAATATTAAATGCTTGATTATTAGATAACATTGTCTAAGTGATATTTTGGCAAATGAAATATCGTAACACAAATTAAGTTATTATTTTTTGTCTTTTAATTACCTAATAAAGATTAATAAAATGTCAAATTTGTAAAAAAAATTTATAATTTTAAAAACACTACATAAATAATACTCCATGATATTTAGCCATTTGGGATTGAATTTTTTTTTTTATTTTTATTTTTTTGCTTTTAGTTTTTTATTTTTTTAACAGCTAAAAAAAGTAATGGGTTTAGAAAGATGATAAACACGCTATTTTTTCATGAGTAAAAAAAATTGATGTGATATCTAACCATTTTAACCGATGTCACAAATTAACTTCACCCACTTTGTGTTGTTGAATTCGTCTTTTTTAGTAGTTTGATTGTTTAAAATAATTATCTATATATTTGCAAAATAATAATAAATAAAAATATTCTCCAACCAATTAAATAAATAAAACATTTAGTTACCGCCGCTATATGTATTGCAGCCACCACCTAACTAACTAGTACTACACCACCACTACTATTACTAATAGTAAGAAGTGATTTTAAATTCCGCACGCTTCGCGGTATTAAATTTCGTTGACATAGATTCTATATATATACACAATGTGTACATTAGTTTGTCTAACACACATACATTGGATTGAATAAACATATGTATGTATGTATAGGTGGTTTTGGGAGGAATTGGTGGTGAATGGCCGGCTCAATGGTTGCGAGGAATTCAAATCTGAAGCGGCTTGAAGTTGGAGATGGAGTTGAAGGAAGCAATTCTAGAAAGGAGAAGGAAAAGGAAAAGAAAATGGCCAACTCCAAGCAGCACCCATTGCTCCAAATGATATTCGCTGCGGTGATTGCCGGAATCATCTTCTCTTTCTTCTATGTCTTCTCTGTCGTTTACTTCTCCTCACCTCACTCCACCACCACCTCCACCTCTATCCTCACCTCCACCTGGTGGCTCCCTCGATTTCCTTTTCGTATGCCTCTCTCTCTCTCTCTTTACTGTATCTATCCATACATGTGTAATTTTTAGTACTTGTTTGGTTTTGACATTTTTAGTTAGTTTTTTTATTTTTTTTAGTTTGAGATTTTTTTAATGGTTTGGTATTTTTATTTGACTTTTTTGACTTTTTAATTTTGAAATGGCAAAATTGTCCTCCACTTAGAAATGATTCTTTTTTAACTTTTTGTTTGTATATGGGTCAATTTAATAATTTTGTAACTTTTTTGTCTTTTTGTGATTTTATAGTTTTATTTTATTTATTTATTTATTTTTTGATTATATAGTCAAAATGGTTTGCCAAACCAAGGCTTAGTTTTAAGTTTTTAAAAACAGTTTTTAAGAAAATAATTTAAGGTGCTTTTTATTTTTATTTGATCTGTTTAAATATTTGAATATTTTCTATTTTAAATACACTTAAAAAGTAAAATATTTGTGAAAATATATATAAAAAAATTCAATAATACTAAAAAAAATGAAAATGTAATAAATTTGTGTATGCGCGTTTTTTTTTTTTTAGTGAATTTTTTAGATATTTTTTCGTAAGTTTTTTTTTTCCCCAAAAAAGTTTATCTAGATTAAGTGGATTCAAAAACTAAAAGAATTTGTATAAAATTAAAAAATTTATTAAAAATAATAAAACAAAAAACTCAAAAATATTTTTAAAATTGCAAAACCATACAAAATGATTTTGGTGATTTTCTTTTTTGTGATTTTTGTCTTCTATGGTGGTGAGTCTTGTGTAATAGTTTCCATTTTTTGGGCACTAGTGGTTGGGGATGTGCATTGTATGTGACACGTGATTTTTTATCAATTGTTAATATTATAATTATGCGTATCTCTTAAATTGGTATGTGATATGTATATAAAGTATTGAGACTTGTATGGATAAATTGATCTATATCTAACATGCAATTAAATAAGAAATGAATACATATTCAGTTGAATAATTTAACTGATAAATGAGAAATTTTATAAATATAAATATTAATTTATAACTAGATTGTTGAGATCACAATTTTATCTTAAATAATAAACATAAACAGGTTTTTTAAATATATAGTATTACACAAATATTTTTCTACCAACTTTTCACTTCAATTTTTCATAATCCGTACATGTAATACAATTGAAGGTATGAAATTAATTGCTCAATTACACAATCTTGTTTAATAGTTCATCTCATAATACAATTCATTGAATCTACTATTGCATATTATTTGCACGCTATTAGTGTAAGAATGCATTAATATCGATATGTAATATATTTTTATACATCAAGAGTTGTTGGGTATCGTTTCATATGTCACGAATATCTTGCATGATGAAAAATATAACATTAGCCATTAATATACAATTGTTATACAATTGTCATAAAAAAATAAATACAAAAAGTAAAATTATTGTCGTGGTGTAGGTGTTTTGTAAAATTTTAATTTGTTATTGAAAGTGTTTGTTGTGGACACTTGTTTGTATGACATGTATGTATATATTTATTGAATATAAGTTGATAGGAGAATAATACACAATTTCGTAATTTTCTCGTAGCAAATATAACTACATTACTAAAGCAATATATGTTAAAAAATTAAAATATCCAATGATAATATTGCATTATAAATTGACAATGCATGAATACAGTAACATATATAAATTTATAATTATATATATATATATATATATATTTGTATATTTGTATATGTAAACATTGATATATATAAGATATCACAAAAGTAATATGTGAAATCTTTTGCAACAATATAATACAGGTAACAATGAAATTTTAATTATTCATAATTAAATAGTTGGTCAACATGCAAATGTTAGTGTTACATTTTTTTGTATATGCACCATTTTTTAATTAGATTATTAAATTTACATAAAAATTTAAAAGAATTTGTGAATAATTTGTGTAAAATTAGAGATTAGTGAAGAAATATTTTAAAAAAAGAGAAATTAGTGTTTGGTTTGGTTTGGTTTTTCAAACTTTTGTTTTGAATTTTTGGATTTTTATATTTTGTCTTTGACACTGTTTTTTTTAATAATCATTTTATTTTCTTTTTAGATTCACTTAATTTAATACTTTTTATTTTTTAATTTTACTTTTAGAAAATAATTTGTTGTGTATTTTTTTTGGAATTTTTTCTAATATTAAATAATAATAATGACAAAAAACAAAATATAATAATAAAAAATAGTACATGTTTGAATTTATAAAAAAAATTTCCAACATTTTACTTTTTAATTCTATTTAGATTATTAGATATTAGATTTTCATGTAAAAGTATAATTTAAATATAAAATATGAAGAAATTTCAACGTAATTAATCACTAAAATTGGGAAAATATGAAAAAACAAAAATTGAAAAACAAATTTAAAAATATAACCAACGAAAGTGGTTCTTGTTTAAAATTTTGACATCATATCTTGGTTATTAAAGTACCATGTAGAATATTGCAGTTTATAAATTATAATTTAAACAAAAAGAAAGTGTATGAAAATAACCTGTGAATTTTTGAGATACAACACAAATCTCTGTTTTAAAAATGCATGCGTCTTCCTCTGTCTAAATTCGAATGAATGCATACAATTTTAAAATTCAACCAAAATTATTTACAGTGATTTGATCTATAATAAACAATTGTAAATATTATGTATATCAGTATAGAAGCAGATACATGAAATAATTAAGAAAGAGTAATTATTTTTTGTTCTTCCATCATCATCAACGTAAAAAATAGAGAGATGATTTTTTTTTTTTTAAATTTTTATGATAAGAATGAAGACGATTTGTTTATATTTATATAGGACTCTTTAAAGCATATATATTATTTTTTAGTGTTTAACTCCAAAAATAAAGAAATAGTTAGTTTATATAAAACTCTTCATGACTTTTAAAAAATATAGTAAATTTGAGAGGGTAAAATTAAAATTAAAAAAAAAAAAAGGAAACATAACAGGCTCTTTATACTTTTATAATAGTAATAGATAATATATCAGTTAGTTTGATGGTCAAAGTGTGGAGTTTGGGGATGTGATTTCTTCATTACCTCACGTTCAGAATCTCTTAAATATAAATAATTTTTTAAAATCACTTCATATAGGATTTTATTCCAATTTTAATTGAGTCCCATGTAAATGGATGGTGGGATTGATTCCTAGATTAATCAATCCTAAAATCAGATATCAAGTTATAAAAAAAATAAATGACATTGTTCTAATACCATGACATTGCCAAGTTGTTACTCTAAGAAATTTAAATAATATTGTCTCATAAACTGTAAAAAATATACTAAACATTTTAATACATACTCTTAAAATAAATTTAAAAAAAAAACAAAGTCATAATTCTATAGACTTTTTGCAAGGAAAAGATCCCTTTATCTTCAAGTTTACTTTAGTGGATGATAGGAAGATTAGTTAGGGTTGTTTTGGGGAGTTGGTTAAAAATTATTTTTTGGCTTTTAACTAAGTTTTTGGCTTTTTTAGACAAATAATTTGGAAAGTTGGTAAAAAGTGATGAAGTTGGTAAAAAGTGACTTTTGACTTTTTTTATTAATATTTGTTTATGATGTCAAATCATAATAAAATGACTAAACTACCCCTATTTATTTAAAATATTTACAACTGAACCTATGTAACACATTGTGACCCATGAGGGGTAAAATTGTAATTGTACCGTTGGCTAAAAACCAACTTGCCAAATGAAAAAAAAGCCAAAAAAGTCAACTTTTGGCTTTTGCTACTAACCAAAAAAAGTGGCTTTTAGCCAAGTTCCCAAAATAGCCCTTATAATGTGGTGTTTGGTTGGGGGATTTGGAGAGGGATTTGGAAAGGGAAATAGAAAAGGTAGGTGAAATGTGAATAAATCATGCTTATATTTCACATAGTTTCACACACCTTTTCCCTTTCCATAATATTGTCTCATAAACTGTAAAAAATATACTAAACATTTTAATACATACTCTTAAAATAAATTTAAAAAAAAAACAAAGTCATAATTCTATAGACTTTTTGCAAGGAAAAGACCCCTTTATCTTCAAGTTTACTTTAGTGGATGATAGGAAGATTAGTTAGAGAATCTAATTAATGTAATTGAACCGACTTTGATCCTCTCTACCTCTACTTCATATATGTAATAAAAAAATTTCTTATATATTTAATAGTTATAAAATAAGAATATAAATTTATAATTATTAGATGATATAATAGAACTTCTCCTCATAAACACGTAATTTGCCTTAAGATCTTATTTGAAAACTTGATTTTTTTATCAAAAAATTAAAAAGTCAAAAAGTAAAAAGTTACTAAAAGAATTATATCATACACACTAGTTTTTTTACGTTTTTTCATATAATTAAAAAAAATCATTAATAAAAACATAAATTTTTTTTTCTGTGTGCTATTTATTTTTCTGCATTGAATAATAATTTTATAAAAAATGAAATTGAAAGTAAAATTTGACTTACATTTCGGATTGGTATGTGACCCTTTAATAGTAAAAAATTATTACTAAGGCCTCGTTTAGGACTAAATGTTTTAGTAAAAAAATTAAAAAAATCTTACTCTTTTTTTTTTTATATATATTTTTGTAAAAAGTCAAAAAATTATTAAAATAATCTATTACCAAACGAGATCTAAAAAAATAAAAAAGTTAAATAATTGTACAAAAAATAAAAATTTCTCTTTTCTCTTTATTTTTTTAATACTTTTTTAAAAAAAAATCAAAAAATCGCACTAAATAAAATAATTTTTTCATCTTATATTTTAACTAAAAAATAAAAAAATTACAAAAATGACTTATTTCCAAACCAATTCAGTTACATTTATTTCAACTTCTCCTTTCACTTGTCAAATCTTTAACAGAATTCATGTTGTAAGTATCATCCCATTAATCTTTCTCAATCACTTATTTTGGATGCAGATTCTGAACGGGGTGGAAAGAAATTGGTGAAACCCATTTGGGAAGTTCCTCCTCCAGGATCAGAGAGACCACCTCTGGAGACATTCCGGTTGAGAAAAGAACTAGTTGAGGAAAGGGTGAAAGATAACATAATTATAGTCACATTTGGTAACTATGCCTTCTTGGATTTTATACTATCATGGGTTAAGCACTTGACCGATTTGGGTCTACAAAACCTTCTTGTTGGTAAGTTCCCCATTATTATCAAAACATCTCAACTTTTTATTTGAGGTTTATTTCACTTTTTATCCCTTCAAAAAATAATTGTTATTTTTTTTAAAAAAAAAATTCATAGCTCAATTTGCCGGTGAATGTGTCATTTCAAATTTTGAATACTCATTTTTTAAAAAACTATTTGTTACCCCATAAAAAATATATTGAGTATTTGATTTTTGATTTGAGTGCGGTTAATAGCTCCCACTTTTATTTTTTAAATCCTCACCTCTTTTAAATCTTCAAAAAGAAATAAAAAAGTAAAAGAATTTTTTACAATTTTACCTTAAACATAAAACTTCAAAGAAAAAAATGAATTGGGAATTGAGGGTAAAAATTTGAAGGTGGGAATCCAAAGAAAGTAGGGGTAAAAATTTGAAGGTGGGAATCCAAAGAATTTAGATTGTTTAAAATTGTAAAATTCTCTCTTCACCCATTAGGTTAGGTTTCCCAAACTCCAATTGAACCATACTCCAATTGAACCATACGGCTGAAATTAGAAAAGACTAAATAGATGAAATTGATAGTTTAGGAATGAAATAGGAAAAATGACAATAGTTTAAAGATAATAGTGAAATTAATCCTTTTATCTGAAGAAATATATGTCCATATATTCTATACACTTGCCTAAGGAAATTTATATGTTGTTATAGGTGCAATGGACATGAAAGTGTTGGATGCTTTGTACTGGAAAGGCATTCCAGTTTATGACATGGGTAGTAATATGACCACATTAGATCCTGGATGGGGCTCACCAGCATTTCATAAAATGGGGAGAGAAAAGGTTATTCTAATAGATGCCATCCTACCATTTGGCTATGAACTACTGATGTGTGATACAGATATGATCTGGTTAAAGGTACCTTGATGCTTGTTTTCTTGATTGTCTTTGTTAGATCCACCTGTTAGCCATGAATGTTATGTTTAGTTAGGAGATTTGAGAAGAGATATAGAAAGGAAAAAGAAAAAGGAAAAGATAATGAAATGTGAATAAAATATACTTACATTTCACCTAGTTTCACACACTTCTTTCTTTTCTCTTTTCAAATCTCCCAACTAAACACAGTGTTACTGATTCTACCTGTGGTCTGAAATATGTTTTTTTTTTTTTACTGTATTTAATATAGGAAGTTAGAAACAACTCTTCCTTGAGTTAGATTCCTTTGGGGTTTTTGCAACCATTCCGATATCCTATTTCTTTTGCTGGTAAACCACATTTGTTCTTTAAATGGCTTTTTTGAGAAAATGCGAAAGAAGGTAGATTCTATAAGAAAACCAATGCGGCTGTTTCCTGTTGCATAAAAAACACACTTAGCACTATATAAACGTCAACCTAAGAAGCACGGACGTGGACATGTGATATAATACGGACACGACACGACACGGACACGCCAGCATGTCATTTTTCAACTTCTTTTTCCTTTTTGTTCATCTCCCCTCACCCCGCCCCCCAAAACAACATTGTTGACTATATTTCTCTATATAATCTTTTGGAAGAAGGAGATGATTTAATTCATTTTTTTTTTTTTACTTTCTTTTCTTATGTAAATAGATTCTCAACTTACTTTTATTCTATTCCTGTTTGTTTGGTTCGTACATTCTTTGCACCATCATTGACTATGTTCCTGGAGCAGAACCCCCTTCCATATCTTTCACGTTTTCCTGAAGCAGATGTGTTAACTTCAACGGATGTACTTACAGCAACATTTTCTGATGACAGTTTGGACAACTGGAAAGAAGGTGAAAATTATATTAAAAAATGCTTTCAATGTTCCATCTCCATTTCTTTATTCTTCTTTTCTGGTTGTTACTAGTAAATTAGGGAAGGTTGTCTGCATTTTCTCCAATCTTTGAGCTAGGTTGCAATATGATAGTGATGATCATTAATATATATATATATATATATTGTGGTTTGGGGGAGGGAGGTTTGAGACTTTAGTTTGCCAAATAGACTTTCAATAAAAAGCAACTTTTCCTTTCCCTGCCCAGATCAGCAGCCTCCCACCAAGGAACAAAATTTTGCTTTTGTTTCCATTGAAATAGCCAAAACAATTCCTTTTCTTAGAAAACCAAAATGGAAGGTTAATGGAATACCAAAATTCTAATGTTAACACTGCAAAACATACCAAAACAATAAGTTATTACTAGAGAGGCTAAGAAATAGAAAGGAAAAGACGAGGCATAGAGAAAAGATGGTAAAATAAGCATGAAGTCCCTTACTCTTTTTCTTTGTTACTGCAAAGTACTTCTTTTTTTTTTTTGTAAAGATCATCACCGGTACTTTTTTTGGGGTAAATTATATTCACCTGCTCTGAGACTTCGGAAAAATACAATTGGTCCCACACTTTTAGCATAATTACACCGAATACCGATCTCTCTTGAAGTTTTAATTCACAGATACTTACCCCTTTTTAGCAATGACTCATTAGTCTATGGATGACAAAATGATATTGTCATCTCTTTTCTACTAGAATATTTTGCATTTTTTAAAACCTTTTGTTTAAGAGCTTTTAATATTCATGGATCTCAACATATTCATTTATTTAGTTATTGAGAATCTATTATCATTTATATAGATTTGTTTTTGTGTCCAATTTTTTTCATATGTTTCTAAATTCTTTTGTCATTTTCCTAATGTTTATGAAATCTTTCCATAATGTTTCTATTTCCAAGCTAATTGAAGCAACATAGCAAAGAGAAATTTTGATCCTTGCATCTCACAAATTTCTCTCAGTTCTCATCAGTGGCACAAGCATACATAACCTCAAATAAAGCAAGATCTATTCATACCACTACTTGGTCTTGCTTAATCTGGATCAATTGGCACACTATGCAGTACTTTATGATTTCAGAAGTAAACTCTTGAGTTAATTTTCTAGTTGACATGTTCATGTTCAAATCAGTGCTCTGATCAAATGGGCAATTTGCAGTTAGTGAAATTTTACTTCTTATCATACCTCCAGGTGTCATTCCTTTTTTAACAATGAAATTCTTCTTGCCCCTTGGACAGTTGGTAATGCGTATAATATAGGAATTTTCCACTGGCGGCCAACAGATTCTGCGAAGAAATTGGCAAAAGAATGGAAAGATTTGGTTCTTGCTGATGCCAAGTTATGGGACCAACAAGGTTTTAATGACATTATACGAAGGAAGTTGGGACCATCTGTTGATGAGGACAGTGGACTTGTATATGCTCATGATGGAAACCTCAAGTTGGGGCTTCTGCCAGCAAGTATATTTTGCAGTGGGCATACTTATTTTGTCCAGGTAGGATCATTAGGATAGTTCTTTGACATTTTGGCATGGTCTCACTTAGCCATTTCTTTTTCTTTTTTTATGTGTATGTGGATACCAGAGCTCGCTTTGCCCCATCTTGGTTATAAATTATGCACTCAAATTTCAGAATGTCTTGTTTGGATCCTGAGGATGTAGTGTAATAGACTACATACATAGCTTTTCTTGAGCCCTTTTGCTATGTTCGTAGGCAATGTATCAACAACTCAGATTGGAGCCGTATGCCACGCACACCACATATCAATTACAAGGAACTGCAGGAAAGCGTCACCGACTACGTGAAGCCATGCTTTTTTATGACCCACCAGAATATTATAATTCACCGGGTAATTTTTCATGAAATTTTTGTACATCTTTATACTTGGCATTTTATTTCCCAAAATTGCTTGCCTTGTATGTAGTCACTACAATAATTGCATTTTATTTGTAGTGACTTATTACATCTCTCTCTCTCTCTCTCTCATGATTCATCTCTGCTCCCCTCCTTTCTTCTTTGTTTCTTCACTCTTTTCTTTCCAACCATTTGAGCCTGTCGTTTCTTCTCTGTTCAATAAAAATAACAATTTGCATAGCATTGGGGCAACACATGCTGAGTTTAATCATTTATCCTGTTAAAACTGGAAATTCCCAACACTGTTCAAAGGCTTTCTTAATATTATTTTCCTAGTGTCATTTCTTTCATCACTTATCGATTCCTATTCTTTACTTGCCAAAAAATAGTTGTAGTATTTCTTTCTATAATAAAACTTTGTTAATGTTGTCCTTTTTTGGGTGAGTTAGAAAGCCTTAAGAGTGCACAAAGGCAAGGAGTAGCTTGGCCGCAGTTCCTCAACAAGCTAAGGGAAACTCGGTCTGAAACTCTGAAGTTGTAAAAGGCACACATTGACCCCATTCTGGGGGATATTCTGAGTCTGATTCTTATTTAAAATTATTATGAGGCGATGCTTCAGTTGACATGTTCATAACAATTAAATTGTCTCTTAATTTTCACACTCGTCTAAATTCCCTTTTGCTGCATTTGATTGAGATGTGGAGGGTGCTGAATAATGGACCGAAAGATTACTTCTTTATCATGGTGATTAAACTTGTTTGGATTGCTCATAATTTTTTATTTTTTATTTTTTTTTTTGGGGGTGGGGGGAGAACAACTGAATGTGTGTTGAACGTTCCCACAACCTTCCTAAACTAATATATACAGCAAATTCCACAGGAAACCAAAACTGAAGTATAAACATACATAAACCCAGTCCTGAATGTACATAAACTGAATGTGTGACCAATGTTTGGACCTGAAGTATAAACTTCACACTACCAGTGCCTTGTAGCTGTTTCTTTACATTAACCGTTCCTGTTCAGGAATACTGCTGCAATTTTTAATTTTGTTTTTATGCAGGGGGTTTGTTGACCTTTAAGCTATCTATTCCGAAGATTTTATTACTAGACGGGCAGCACAATATTGAATCGCATTTCGCTCTTGTTAACTACCAAGTATGCATAACCTAATTGAATTGGCTTCTTCTACAGTTTTGATTCTACTGTGTTGCAGTTCATTAATTCTGTTGTGAATGGTTCTTTCAGACAAAGCAAATAAGGACAGCTCTTGCTATTGCTTCTTTGTTGAATCGTACCCTGGTAAGAACTTTTCTGACATTCGATATTTTTGCCTGACCATCGCCTCCTATACGATCTTTTTTGTAACTTAATCCATCTCAACAATGCAGCATTAACTATTTTAGGGAAATGTCGTTTTCTTGGTTATAATTGATATTTTGTTTTTCTATATATTTTCATTTGTTTTTGTTGTATTGCTCTTGCATAATACAGTAATGTGACTTGTATATCTTAATATGTCAACTATCATATCAAGACAGCAGAAAATTCAAAAATGATTTCAATTTCCTCAATTGTACATTATCTTTTATTCTATGTTGTTACTTAGAATCAGGACTTTGAAATGTTCTCTTCTTTAAGAAACCGAAACAAAATGTTAACTCAGTCTAAGGTTTAGTCACCATCTAGGAAAGTTAATTTTTAAGAATTTGTCCCATCTAGCATTCATTTTGCTAAATATCCCATGAAATAGGGTCCATTGAGTAGTTTCATACGACTAGTTGACATGTATTATTCAAAATGTTTGATCAAGCACATTAGATATTGTTTGTGCAACTTCTGATCTAAAGTTCATAATTTGATCTAATTGTTCTTTATTTGTGATTCTAGGTTATGCCTCCACTATGGTGCAGGTTCGATAGTATATGGTTTCCACATCCTGGAATTGTAGCGGGGACTATGACGAAACAACCTTTTCTCTGCCCTTTGGATCATGTATTTGCGGTATTGCTATTTCTGATTATTACAACTGTGCTCAGCACCCAAACAAACAACAGCTAATTGTTAAAACTGTGATCTTTTTTGTCCCCTTAAGTCAAGATAATCTGTAAATTTGTTTCGTATGGGCATGTTGCCAAGAGTGTTTCTCAGAGAAGCTTCTTTGTGTGGTGAAGTCAACAAAGCTTCATATTTTGTTAGTCATAGTCCGGTACCATAATAATTTCATAGGATAAAGCCATAAAGATACTTATCAAGGAATAATTTCGCAGGACATAAATAATTTGTACAAATTAAGTTGTAGCTCCTTCTCATGAACTTGGAATTTTTTTTTTTTTTTAGAAAAAAGGGAAGAAAAAAAAAAAAACTATACGTTGGGACAAGAAACAAAACTTATCAATCTTTACTAGGCTGGAAAATCTACAATTAAATGTAGTATGGGGTGTTCTTCTTGGTGATGAATTTACTTGTGAAATAGGACAGGGTTTGTAGGCCAGCTTAGGCATTCGACAATTCAGGACTTCCAATCTGGTATTGCTTGGGAAGTGGCTCTGGAGATATATGAGAGAAGTAGGAAGCTTTTGTAAAGGCCACATGCTATCTTTTGTTGTTTTCTCTGTTTGACGTCATACCATGCTGCATTGCAGTTGAACACCATGATGGAGGAACTGCCAGAGGAGGAATTTGGACCTGGGATAAATTGGAGGGAGTATTCTTTCTTAGATAATCCATCATTACCCAAACAGGTATAGATCCAAATTAACCTCATACAAACGGATCTATATTTAATTGTTATCCTTCACTTGCACCAAGGAATTCCTCTCTGTTGATGTCTGTTTCAGGTTAAGGAGTCATGGCTTGATGTACAACTTTGTCAAGAAGAATTGCCAAATTGTCAGGTATCAAACAGTACGAGTCAATTGAGAGTGCTCAAATTTCCCAAGCGCAGCAATGAAGAAAGGGTATGACAGATTCCTATATAAGCTTTGTCCTGTTTTCTCTTCTTATATAAATCCTTGCTACTCTTTATGCTGAGTACTAGCTCAAACTAGAATGAATGCTTGTAGTTTGTGTACGTTCATCGGGTTATTAAGTGTTGGAACTAATAGATTTTGCACATTACTTCTGAATGCTCTATGCTTTTTGTCACATTACTGACTAGATATTTAGGTCGAAATTAGAGTGCCCATCTCTCTCTAATCTAAACAAAACAATTATCGACAAAGATTGTTCGTTTGTTCATTATTACAGTTCAAAACAGTATTCTCCGCATTCAAGGATGTCAAAGTCATTCAATTCTCATCAATGCAAGATGCCTTCCTAGGTTTCACCGACAAGGCAAGTTTTTTTTTTAGTTTTTAATCTTTCAACTTTTTAGTATTATTTTAAATGTAAAAATATTGTCATATTTTATAATTTGATATACTAAGGTGCAATAAAATATATGATCAGAAAAGGGAGGAAAGATTCAGGAAACGTGTGAAGCGGTACCTGGTTGCATGGTGTTGTATGGAAAATCACAATCCGGGCCACATATATTATGACATGTATTGGGATGAAAAGCCCGGTTGGAAACCAATTCCACCCCAAACTCCCAAAGATGATCATCCACCTTGGTGAGGCATACAGGAATTTGAAATATAATTTTGGAGTAGGAGAGGATTTGTGGTTTTAGTATACTAGTAATAAAAGGAATTTCGATATGTTTTTATGCATATTTGAAAAGCAAATTTAGAAGAGGAAGCAAATCATCTCGAGGTAGGCAAAATCATGTGAAGGATTTTGCAGTGTTTAAATTTCTAGTTTGTATACCTTTGTTAACTGGAAACTCAGAAATGTAATCTTCAATTTGGTTTTTTTTTTTTTTTTTTTTTTTTTTTGGGGGACATGTTTAAATTTGGTTTGAACTCAGAGTGGTGGCAAATAAGAGTATGATTCCACAATTCTACTACCATTGTTATATAGGATGTGATTTTCCTGTGATGAATCCCAGTTAGAAAATTGAGGTTCTACTCCTAGGGTTTTTAATTTTGGGTAAAGTACCAATAGGTCCTCATAGTTTGACTTAATTCTCATCAAGTCATATTAAAAATAAGTCTTAATAAAATTATTGTGGAAAATAATTTTTTTGTAACAATTTTTTATATATGTCGCTAAAAATTAACAATTAGTGATTTTTTTTTTTGTCATGATTTTTATAAATTATTTCTAAAACTTGCAATTAGTGACTTTTTTTATGACAAATTTTTCCCATATAACCTATTAGACAATAAGTCCACTTATTAAGACCTACAAGTAAATATCCCTTAAATTTTTATGTTGTGTTTAGATTATGAATCTGTATAAAGATTTGTGGAGGTAAAAGAAATGAGCAGGGAAAAGTAAATCCACCCATCTGAGTAATGATTTGTGGAGGAGATGGAAAAATGAAGAGAAAAGCGAAAAAATAGTTTCGATTTCATCTACTTTTTTTTTTCTTCTTCTTCTTCTTCTTTCTACAAATTCCTCTCATATCTGAGATCAAACGTAGTCTTAATATTGTTGAATTACGGTTCAGTTCGAGCCTATTAAATTTGGGTTGGGAAAAAATAATTCTGTAATATGCTCTCTAATTAATCAAAACATGGAAGGTAAATTACACTCACCTCTCATCATATTTGAAAAAAAATAATTAGTTATGCACTTTCGATATAATTATGTTAAAATTTTGGAGTTAATTATATTTTCTTCAAACTTCAAGACGTGAGTGTAATTTATCTAAACATGGAATTGTTAGTTGGGGGATTTGGTGATAGACCCTCACTGTTTAATTTGTCTTTCAAAATGACATGAATTATATAGGTAATTTCAAAACTCCCTAATATTTTAAAACTTCTATACTACTCTCATATCTATCAACTTTCCTATTAAGTCATTCTCACAATGTATTTCAGAGTAAAATTTTATTATGATTCATAGTAAACTTTACTTTGATTTAGAATAAAGAGTAAAATTGTACTTTCAGAGTAAAAGTTTACTCTAAATCATAGTAAACTTTATTCTAATTCAGAGTAAAATCAGAGCAAAATTTACTATAATTCAAAGTAAAATTTTATATCGTTAAGTAAATCAACATGTTTTAACCAGAGTAAAATTTTACTGTTACAAAAAATAAAATACGTACTAAATGAACGCACCATAATCAAATTTTATTTTAGATCTATTAACAAATAAAAAAAAGTCAATTGGAAAAAACAACAATTAATCTCTCTCTCTCTTTGGGAGAGTGGTCGCCTGAGCTTCATGGCCACCTGAGCTTTATGGCTGCTTGAGCTTTCTCCTTGACCTCTGTTTTCGACATCTTCTTAGGTGCCTCCGTGTATCTTAGATCAGTATCGTCATCTAGCTCAGATCGTCGTCGTTATTTATCTCAGATCTCAAATTTGTCCGATCTCTGATGATCTCGATCGGGTTTTCAGAAAACATGGCTGCAACTAGCATTGACATCAGATTCCGATGAACCCTTTGGGTTTCAGTTATCAGAATCTGAGTATGAAATTGGAGAGACAATAAAACCGACCGAGAGAGAATTTTGGCGAATATGGTAAGGGAGATAAGGACATGGAGAGGTTGTGGAGGGCCGAGAGAGAAGGGGCGGTGGTTGTGGCGGAGGAGAAGAGAGAGGTGGAGGGGAAGGAAGAGAGATAAAGTGATATAGAAGGAGACAGTGGAAAGATTTATTGAGGGTAAAATAGTTCGATAAAATATTTAAATGATAAATTTTATCCTTTATACAAGATTTTATAATTATGAGAAAATTTTAAAAGTAAAATTTCTTTCTTATTCCTTTTAATAATAAAAGAAGGTAAAAAAAAGTTTATAACCGAATTTCCCTTGTTAGTTTTTGAAACATGCTGACCAAAATGGTTGGAATCTGGTTAACTAAAACTGATCATTCTCCTAGTGAAAAAAATAAAAAATAACATGCATATATAGGCTAGGTGATTCAGTGACAACAGAGGATTCCTCATATTTTCCCAAGTATGAAAATGTAAAATAATGAGGAAACAACCCAATCCCAAAGGGCATGTGTCTATCAACACAAAGTGTTAGGAAGATTCCTATCGCTGCCTTCCTAGGAAGAGCTTCATCAACTCAGCATCGAATCTCCTACCCTAATGCTAATGGAACTTCTCAGCATCTTTTACCCTTTCAGTCCCATTCATGCAATTCCAATCACAAACACTTCTTACCCATCAAACCCTTTTCCACTGCTTTCCACTTGTTCGACAAAATGTTGCACAGAGAACAAACCCTTGAAAATACTCGCTTTTGTGATGTTCTTGATCTCGTTAAATTATCCGCCATGAAACCCAACATTATGACTGTGAAAACAGTTCATTCCTTAGTTCTCAGGATTGGTGTTCTTTCTCACTTAGCCACTTCGACCTCTCTCCTTATTACCTACTCAAGAGCCGGAGATTTTGGCTCTTCAGTGTCACTGTTTGGTGAAATTCTTTATAAAGATGTCATATTTTGGAATGCCATGATGACTGCGTGCGTTGAGAACCGGTGTTTTGGAGCTGCCCTGGATTTTTTTGTGGAGATGATGGAGGGGAGAAGTGGGTTTGATTCTGGAACTCTAGTAATTGCCATTTCGGCCTTACCCAATACGAACAGATTGATACAAGGCCGGGTTTTGCATAGTTTAAGTGTGAAGGCGGGGATGCTTTTGGATTCATTTTTGTGTAATGCCCTCGTAGACATGTATGCAAAATGTGGTGACTTGAGGTCCTCGGAGCATATGTTTGAAGGAATGCATTGTAGGGACCTTGTTTCTTGGAATTCAGTGATACGTGGTTGTCTTTATAATAAGAGTCCTGAGAAGTCTCTTCTATACTTCAAGAACATGGCCTTTTGTGGAAAACAAGCTGATGATGTGAGTCTCTCGTGTGCAATTGCAGCCTCTACTTGTTTGGGAGAATTGGGTATTGGTCAGGTCATCCATGGATTGGGGATTAAATTGGGTTATGAGGAGGGCTCTCATATTTCGTTTGCAAATTCTCTCATTTCATTGTATTCTCAGTGTGGGGACATTGAGGCTGCAGAGACTGTTTTCAGAGGAATGGTTCATAAGGATGTGATTTCATGGAATTCAATGATTAATGGATTTGCCTCAAACGGAATGATTTTTGAAACATTTGATGTTCTGCATGAAATGCAATTAGCGGGGTCAATCCAACCCGACACAGTGACAGTAGTTACTCTACTTCCTCTTTGTGCCGAATTAATTCTATTGAGAGAAGGAAGATCTGTTCATGGATTCGCAGTTCGAAGAAGTATGGATTCTGATTTGTTAGTGGTGAACAGTCTAATGGATATGTACCTGAAATGCAATAAGGTTAACGCAGCTGAGAACTTGTTCAATGTCATGCCAGATAGGGATTTGGTCTCGTGGAATACAGTTATCTCTGGGTATTCCCAAAATGGGCTCTCCAGAGAAGCTCAAACTCTATTTAAGGAATTGCTTAGCTGGTGTTCACATTGGAGTTTATCAACTCTTTTGGCAATTCTTCCTTCTTGTGGCTCCCCTGAATCATTCAAGTTTGGCAAATCGATCCACTGTTGGCATTTAAAATTGGGATTTTCAAACAATATGCTTGCAATTAATTCCGTGATGTTCATGTATATAAATTGCGGAGACTTGAAAGCTTCTTTGTCATTGTTGTCAAGAATTTCTGCTGTGGAAGATACTGCTTGTTGGAATGCTGTAATTACAGGTTGCACACAGAATGGCCATTTCTGGAAAGCCTTCGAAACTTTCAACTTAATGAGGAAATCCCACGTCGGTCATGACACCATTACCCTTGTTAATGTTATATCAACCTGTGGAAATCTTGAATTAGCAGTCGAAGGAAAATTACTTCATGGGCTTTCTTGTAAAACATTGGAAGGTACAGATATCCGTGTGCAGAACGCACTGATTACCATGTATGGCAGATTGGGGGAGATTGAGAGTGCAAAATCGGTGTTTGGATTGAGTTCCAATCACAATTTATGTTCTTGGAATTGCATGATCTCTGCTTTTTCTCAGAACAAGGATGGTAAAAGAGCATTAGAAATGTTTTGCATTCTTGATTTTGAACCTAATGAAATAACCATTTCCAGTGTTCTCTCAGCCTGTACCCAACTCGGATTGCTAAGGTATGGGAAGCAGGTCCATGCTTACGCTTTCAGGTTTGGATTCCAAAGAAACTCTTTTATTTCCGCTGCTCTTGTGGACATGTACAGCAACTGTGGCAGATTACTCATCGCTTTTCAAATATTTCAAAATTTGCCTGAGAAATCTGTTGCTGCTTGGAATTCTATGATATCGGCTTTTGGGTTCCACAATAATGGTGAAAAAGCAATTGAAGTATTCAATCAAATGATCGAGTCTGGAACTAGTCCAACTAAGAGCACTTTCATAAACCTTTTATCCACTTGCAGCCATTTAGGGCTTGTCGATGAAGGTCAGTGGTATTATCACCATATGTTGGATGAATTTGGAGTAGAACCCATAACTGAGCATCACATATGCATGGTTGACATGCTTGGTCGGTCTGGAAGGCTGGATGAGGCTTATGAATTTATCAAGAAAATGTCAATCCGACCTGAACCGGGTGTATGGGGGGCCCTATTGAGTGCTTGTAACTACCATGGAGATCTTGAGATCGGTAGAGAAGTTGCAGAAATTCTCTTCAGATTGGAACCTTATAATGTTGTTGGATATTATGTATCATTGTTTAATATGTATGTCGCTGCTGGAAGATGGAGTGATGCTGCAGAATTGAGAAGAATAATTCAAGACAAAAGACTAAAGAAACCAGCAGGTTACAGTCTTATTGATGTTGGCTGTGGTTGAGAGATATTGAGTACCTCAGACAACTGCTGTTCCTCTATTTTTGGCTTTGTTTATTGTAAATTGGTTGGTAAAACACCCTGTACATATAGAAATGATTCATGTATTTTTTGTTCTAATTCCCTGCCTATTTTCAATTTTACATGCAGAAACAAGAGTTGGTGACCATTATCATACAGTTAAAAACCTTTGCATTAGTAAATAGTTCTATTATGAATTGATAAAATTTTACTGGTGTCCACTTTTGAAAAACCTTCTCAGTTTATATGTACGGCCTTGTTTAATAAATGGTTTTTTTTAGCTAAAAAATTAAAAAGTCAAAAAATTATTAAAAAAGCCAACAACCTATATAAAAAAGTCAAAAATTCTTTTTTCTTTTTACTTTTTGTACATTTTTTTATAAAAAATCAAAAAGTCATTCCAAACATATTAGTTTTTTTTACATCATATTTCAGCCAAAAAAGTCAAAAAGTTACTAAAAAAACATGTTCCCAAACAATAGTGCCCAATTTTGTAATCTTTTTGTGCGTTCTCAAACTAATGGTAGGGATATCAAATTTTCTACCAAATAAATAACTAAATGTCTAATACGAGTGTAGAGATTTTTTACCAAATAAATATAAACCCTACACCCATATAAGACATTTAAGCATTTATTTACTAGAAAATTTAGAACTAATAACATTTTTCGTTTGATAATTATCTTTCTTAATGGGTTATGTGGATTGACATTTCAGTTTTGGGACCATGTCATTAAGAGCGTGCTATGACGTTGAGGATGTTGCTCACCCAACACAATTGGAAGAGGTCACATTTGTATGTTACTTGATAATGTTGTCCGTCCCGGGTGGATGGGTCGGGCTGTTCCAAGCTCTTTAAGTTCTGGTTCAGGGTGAAGATTCCGCCAAATGACCTGCAAGCAAGTCCAAAGAGGAACGGGGCAGTCCCCCAGTGAACCCTCCGGCGAGAGAATCAGTAGAGGAAGAAGGAAAATGTCGAGAAAGAGAGAGAAATAAAAAGCTTAACCTTCCTCTTGTCTTTCTATTCTTGCTTATATCCTTTGGTAATCATTTCACTGTCCCTTGTGACGTGCCCCCTTCCGCCGAAAGCCTGTGCCGTAGCTTACCTTGTTCAGGGTGAGGGGGCTCTGTTCCGACGGGGAGGTGTTGTCGTAATAAATGCTGTGATGGGCTGCATTAATGGTGATGTGTTGTGGTAATAACTCTGCAGATCTTTGTCTGCTGATGTGGCCTGTGTTTCACCTGCCATGTGCCCAAATGCCATTGGCTCTCCATGTCTAGATGGCCTCCAGTTGTCCTGGGCTTTGCCAACCGGGTTATGCTATTGATCCCAAGCGATGGGTTTGGGGTGGTTTGCTATGGGCCGTATGCCTTGTGGGCCTATCCATGTCAGTAGTCCCTCATTTCCGAGTGCAGCTTTAGCCCAACGAAGGGAATAGTAATAAGGAAGAGAAATGCGAACCGAGTGGAGAGGCCGACTGGAAGCCGTGCCGACCGCGAGGGTGGCCGAGCGGGAGGGATCGACCGTGAGGCGTGCCGACCGCGAGGGTGACCGAGTGGGAGGGGGCGACCGTGAGGCTTGCCGACCAGGACGGCGCGGGGCTCAAAAAGAGAGGGGGTAGGATGGGGCCATGTGATGATGTGAAATGGAAAGGACAGAATAAGGGGAGGTGACAGTGCATCATGGCCATACACGTGGCAATGTCGTGGAGGAAGTGAAGCGTTGGAGCAGAAATGAAACGATAGGTCACGATGGGGGTTTTGAAAAGGCCGTCTGCTGCTAGGCTATGGGAGTTTTCCCTGTACGAGGAGGCGCTAAAAGGTGGGCTGAGGTTGCCACTGCCCCAAGTGGTGGTTGATGTGCTGAATCGCCTGGAGGTAGCGCCGGGGCAATTGATGCCCAATGCATGGAAGATTCTGCTGGCCCGTGCGAGTGCGTGGCCCAAGGCGAATGGAGGGGAGGCCATGACGATAGACGAGTTCTTTTCGTGTTACAAGGTGTTGGGGCAGCAAGAAACGTGGGTCACCCTACAGGCGGTGATGGAGAGGGGATTGGTGGCGGGGCTGCCGACATCGATCAAGGGGTGGCGGCCACGGTGGTTCTACGTGTCTGCTAATGGGGGAGTGGGGGTGCGCACCATCTGGAAGGTGCCAACTAGGTCGATGGAGTCGAGACTGGGGGCAATGGCAGAAGAGAGGGTGAAGAGAGTGAAGGAGTGGAGAGAGAGAAGGCCAAATGGGACGAGCTTGTTCAACCATCTGCATTGTTTGAGGCGGGGCTAGGACTGCAGCCGAAGGGTGGAGACCTCGACCGAGCAGAATTGGAGGCGAGAAGAAAAGCTCAGGAGGTAGAGGATCAGGTCGTTCTAGCCAAGGCCACGAAGTTGAAGGAAGCGCGAGGAGACCGACCACCTCAACTGATCGCGCGGGAGAGGATCCGACCACGCCCAAGGTCGTTGGGGGGAAAAAACTTAAGCAGTTTTGAGTCGCGGCCGCCCCCCGTAGACCCTGTAAAAGAACAGGCCAGAAAGGAGGGGGAGGCTCTAAAAAAGAAGAAGAAGAAGAAGAGGAGTGCCCCAGAGGAAGCCGCAGATGAGTCTGGGGCCAAGAGGGCTAAGGTGGCCCCAACTGAGGTGGAGGTCCCTGTGGCCAAGGATGACCTAGAGGTGGTGGAGGTCATCCCAACAGTGGAGGTTGTGGAGATTGCTCCAACAGTGCAAGTAGAGGCTGGGCTGACTAAGGCGGCGCCGAGCGGAAGGGAGCAGGTCCAGAAGGGGCCTGCCCCCAGGAAGGAGGGGTTCGCCTGGCTACGGCAATCTATCATGCGCGCGCGGTAGCTGGAAGGTTGGAGGGAGAAGAAGGCCCAGCCAGGGCGGGGGCAGACCGCTTGGTAAAGATTGTGGAGGAGACAGCTCTGCGCGCGGCATCAGGATATAATGAGGCTGACCTGCTGAGGGGGTTATGCTCCGCCCAAATGGAGGTAACTACCTTGGCAGGGGCCCTTCTTAGGAAGGCAGGGGCTGCCAAGTTAAAGGCTGAAGAGGCCAAGGCCCAGTTGGCCAAATTGAAGAAGGACAGTGCCGACTGGAAGACTGCCCATGCTGATCTGCCAGCAGTCAAGTTGGAGCTGGAGGACACACGCCGTAAGGTCGTGTCGCTCGAGTTCCAACTGGCTGGCGAATAGAAAAAGTTGGAAGAGTCTGAAAAGGCCTGCGCCGTTGCGGTCGAGCGGCATGAAGAGGCCATGAGCAGCAATGAAGAGCTGGTCAGGCAAAAGGATGAAGCAGATTCCAGAATTGGAGATCTGTTGAAGGAGTTGGGGGAGGAGCGCGCCAGAACAGAGGAAGAGAAGGAGAGGCTTCTGAGGGAGTGGGAAACAAAGAAGACGAAGGCGATGGCGGAGCTGGAGAGTCTGAAGAAGAGGGTGGAAGAGGAGAGAGCGACGGCGGCTGCTGAAAGAGGGGCCCTGCAAAGAGAGCTGGACGAAGAGAGGGCGAAGGCGGCGTCTGAGAGGGCGACCTACCCTGATCTGTGCGTCGCAGCAGTGGAGCAATATAAAGGGTCCCCCGAATTTCAGATGGTGGTAGACGCCGCTGTCGCCAGGAGTCTAGCTGGGCAAGAGTCTGGGAGGGTGGGCCCATCAAGGAAGACTGTTGGAGGTAGGATAGAGGTAGAGGTGATTGAAAGCTTCCAGCAGTCAGACTTCTACAAGTACGAAATGGCCGAGTTCTGGGACAGCGGTTGGAAGATGTTCAAGTGCAGAGCTGAAGAGTTGTTCCCACACTTGGACCTAAGTAGTGTAACGATAGGTGAAGATGATGTGGCCCAGACCCCCCTGGACGAGGGCATTGAAGAAGAAGAGCTGGCGTCCAGCGAGGAGGAATAACCAAGAAGAAGAAGAGCTGGGCATGCTCTATGTTTGTGTTTTTTGTTTTGTTTTGTTTTGTTTTGTTTTTTTTTTTTTGTAATGAACTTGTGTACACATTGTAAATGTATGAGTGAGTGAATGAATGAATGAATGAAGAGTTTAATTGTAATGAATTTGTGTACAAATGTTATTTTGTTTATGTTGCCAGTTGACTGTGTGGGCCTGTATTGTCTAAAATGAATGAAGTCTTGTTATAAAAACTGGTCATAAAAATTGTGCAATAAAAATTTCGTGCAAAGTTAAAGTTAAAAGTTCCTTCCTGCGGAGTGCGATTGGAGTTGTATGAAAATTGAAAGGATGATAGTGGTTGATTGAAAAATTAGAGTAGGAAATTGTAGAACATAATATTAAGTACGGATGAAGAATCCACGGATGAGGACAAAAGGTAGGTTGCAAATTGTAACTAAATAGTTAATTGTAAACTTGTAGAGGAAAGATTGGAGAAATAAACTGGGTGAGGTGGTAGATAACCTGATTAGTAAATGAAATTCGTGAGAGCATGTTTGGAATTTAACTAGGTAAAAACGTGGTCCTAGAATTGTGAAGAAGCTTCAAAATGTGACTAAGTGTTAAAAATGTGGTCCTGCTTGGCTTTGAAGTGCTCAGTCTGACTGAGGCTTTGAGTGCTCGGTCTGGCCGAGGCTTTAAAGTGTTCAGCCTGGCTGAGCCTTTGAGTGCTCGGTCTGGCCGAGGCTTTAAAGTGCTCAGCCTGGCTGAGGCTTTGAGTGCTCGGTCTGGCCGAGGCTTCAGGTGCTCGGTCTGGCCAAGGCTTTGAAGTGCTCAGCCTGGCTGAAGCTTTGAGTGCTCCGACTAGCGGAGGCTTTGAAGTGCTCAGTCTGGCTGAGGCTTTTGAAGTGCTCCGTCTGGCCGAGGCTTTGAGTGCTCCGTCTGGCCGAGGCCTTGAATGCTCGGTCTGGCGGAGGCTTTGAAGTGGTCAATCTTGCTGAGGCTTTGAAGTGCTCGGTCTGGCCGAGGCTTTGAGTGCTCAGTCTGGCTGAGGCTTTGAAGTGCTCGGTCTGGCCGAGGCTTTGAGGTGCTCAGTCTGGCTGAGGCTTTGAGGTGCTCAGTCTGGCTGAGGGTTTTGAAGTGCTTAGTCTGGCTGAGGCTTTGAAGTGCTCGGTCTGGCCGAGGCTTTGAGTGCTCGGTCTGGCTGAGGCTTTGAAGTGCTGCAAGTGAAAATGTCATGGGAGCGACATACAGACAGTTGAATTATGAAAG